TTTTCTTACTTTCCTACGATTGTCTAGCTAATATCAGTATCTGATATGAACTATGAAAATAATACATCATTGATAAATTAGTTCAGTTCATTTTCTAATCATTTCTACTCTTAGATCTAATCTGGTTAATACTGAAGAAGCAGTTCCATTCAATAATCATAAACATTAAACAGTTTTTGCCGTCACGTATAAAGAATTAATTAGTTATTGGCAAAGATTCTGTCTTCTTTTCATCATAAAGTTGAAAATTGTTAGTGGATTCTGTGCAATCTAATATATTTAGCCGAAGTACAACTGTTATTCAAATTCTCTTTTAATAGTTGAATTCATGAGTCGATTATAGCTAGACCACCATGGAAAACCTGCATGCACTGAACAACCGTATCAACCTAGTATGGGACTCTTCAGCAGTTCACATCCACGATCTCGCCCCCTGCGGGATTCGAGCGCAGGACATATTAGTCTCGCTCATAAACACTTAACCTGTAGACTATCGAGTTGACATTCAATGATGTTAATGTCTAACTTCAATCAATCCACAAAATCGCACCACCGTCCATCATATTCTTCAGTGATTTACTATCTCACCATAGACTTTACTGAACTCTACTGTTCATGGCTTTAATTGACTCATAAATTCAACGATTAAATTACCTTCCTAGTTAAATTTGTCCTTCAAAAAACAAACAAACAAGCAAATTCATTGCCCACATTTGAACTAACTGTGTATAGTTAGTTTATTATTTAATCCTATTCAGTTGTCATGTTTTTAGTTGTAATGGATATAATGTATAGTTTATAAAGAGATATATTGATTTTCAAATGATTAGTAGTCACGTATAGAAAATGTCTGTTTTTTTTTAATGTTCTATACCATATGAATAGTAGGATAGAAGTACTTAGTATTTTATTTATTTAAATACAAACATTGGTACAAGGGGACACCAAATATACATACGTCACACTATCTCAGTTACCTCCATGAATGACTTCAGTGCTTCAGCTGATTTACTATCTGGTTCCGCTGATCTGCTTGATTATGTTGAGATGACAGCTATGGGAAGATCTATGTGTGCTAGTTCGATGTCCGAGGATAGTCTATTGAAGAGTTATTCAAAGTGCTTAATCCATCACTTTCGCTGTAGTTAAATCTCAGTGATTGGCTCGCCTTTTTTGTTCTTGACAGTTTGCTCTGGTTTACTGTGTTTTCCTGTTAGTTTCTCCATTCGTCGTATAATTAATTCGTATTTCCTTCTCTTACAGCTCATTCCGCTGTTGTTACTAGATCTTCTATGAATTTCTGCCTGTCAGCTCTAATGTTCCCTATCACAATCTTGTTTGCTTCAGTGTATTTATTCAGCTATTGCCTTGAATTTCTGTGTTCTTGTTTGACTGATTTTAATTGCTGTTACTTTGTTTTTCCCTTCCTACCACTATCATTAACACCTCTCTTTTGTTGATATTAAGTAAACAGGTTCAAATTACCTAGGTTCAGGGTTAAAATATTCTGAGCTTTTCTTTAATGGATATTTTATTGAGGATTCTTTTCCTTTTTTCTATGATAATTTTACCGTTGTATAAATTGGTAGAGTCTGTTGTGAGATATCATGTCACTGAAGAAGATGTACGGTGGCGCAATTTTGTGGATTGATTGAGGTTAAACATTAACAGCGTTGCATGCCATCCGGCTCAGCGGTCTAATGGTTAAGCGCTCGCGTGTGACTGTTAGGTCCTGGGTTCGAATCTCACAGAGTCGGGGTCATGGATGTGAACTTTTGAGGAGCCCCATACTAGGAAGAAGCGGCCGTCCAATGCTTCCAGTTTTTGCATGATGATCTAGCTTCCATTGACTCATGATTTCAACTATTGAAATGACTAAAATCTCCACAAAACCCTTTCTTATTTACGTGTACTATACGACTTGTTTTAATTGTGATGAATCTTTTGAAAAAATGTTCAGTATCTCAATTAGTCGATTACATTAACTTTTTTTCCTGGAATTTTCAAAACTCGCGAATCATCAAATCCCCATGGTGTATAATACTTTCACCTTTAAAGAATAGTTGTCATAGCTACTACGAAATATTTATAGATATCCATTTTTTTGTTAAACCTATTCAATTATTGTCGGTTAAAGTGTAGTATAAATTGTAGACATGTTTAAAAGCTTGTGATTTAAGGCTATATCAAGGCCATCCACACAGGATGCACATTTATCAACATGAGATTGATCGATTACAGTCCTACGTAACAATCGGAAGGTACAAGTAAAACAACACCAAGCGAATTTAAACGTTATCCTATTGCACGAGCAGGTGGCTATCAGGACTCAATAACTAAGTGGATAACGCGATGGCGTTTGAAGCGAACGGCACTGGGCCCGAGTCCCAGAGTGAACCTCAACAAGTCTGTTATACAGGCACACCTAGCTGACGAGTCCCGAATTGGAAGAAGTGGTGCGCTTAAAACTGGATTCCACTGGTAGCCACTATCCATGTTTGCTTAAACAGATTGTGACTTAAGTTTATATCGAAGCAATCCACGTAGATAATTAGAAAAGTTTTGTTAATTATTTCATTCAGTTTTGATTACTTACTGAATTCCTAGCATTTGTTACTTTCCAATGAAGCATAGTCTACCGATCATTATTGTTCAATCCATTCTGTCCTAATAATTGAATTCATGAATCAGCTACAACATAGGACCAAGCACATAGATGCATCGGTCCAAGTTGCCATACCTTACTCATTAGCGCAACAAGATGAACACTGGCTTCATAGAATTAGTTAATTCAATGGTGGTACTATATATATATATATATATATATATATATATATATATATATATATATATATATATATATATATATATATATATATATATAACAAAGATTTCATATAAGGATATAATACAGGAAGAAAGATTTAGTATGTAGAATCAATTAAAACTGGATCACTATAAAAGCAAAAACAACTTAGAAGCATTAAGTGGTTATTTCATTCTAATATGAGACTCTTCAACAGTACACACTCATGATCCCATCCTTACAAGGATTCGAACCAAGGACTTATTGATTTTTACTATTTATTTTTCATTCATCTAATCAATTACATCATCATCATTATCATCATGTTCAATATAGATTTAAACTGATTAATTCGTTTTAAATGGCATTAAATGTAGGTAGGTGTTTGTTTTCTAACTTACCCACCTACCCACGTACCTACCTAGTAATTGTACTTAGTCTCGATCATTATGAGTCATTTTGTTCGCTTCTTTTTTTCTTTTTACAAGATGTATCCTTAAATAATAATGTGCCAAAAAAGTTTGGTTTTTTCTTTTGACTAAGAAAATCTGAGATTATGTCATAGATTATTATTACTATTACCATTATTATTATTATTACCACTATTATTATTATTACCACTATTATTTTTATTATTATTATTATTATTCTATGTAACTGTAATATAGACTGATATACTTTTTTGTTGTTGTTGCCATGTTGATTATCAAGTTGATTGATTGATTGATGGAATAGTGCCAAATATAAAACTCAATAAATAAAAAAGGATTCTCCCTTTTTGTTTCTATATTAAAAAAAGAAAGAGACAATACTATTCATGATAATGATAATTTACTTATCATATGACATATAGATAACTAAACAATTAATTATAATGATATAACATTCTTGAAGATTTAATCATTCTTTTGTTAGATCTTGAATAGTAACTATTGGGATATATTTATGGACTAATACTATGCATATTATATTTATTGTATGGTTACTAAGTGGATAAACTATGCATATTCATGTACCTCTTATTATATACTTTATTTTGACTAATATGATACGACTTACCATTCTTGAGTTATGCCTAATCTATCCATTACTATCTCCTACATTCACAACCACTTTTGGCTACTATCTTGTACAAATGTATATTTTCTATTTTATGGTACGATGTGGTCTGTTTGGTTTGTATATAAACCCAGTATGTTTGAAATACATGATTGATATCGTGTAGGGTGAGACTGGTGTTCTGGACTCAATGAGCGAACTAGGAGAAGGACCGATTAAGACTCTAAACTGCTCGTACGATTTTACGTGTCATTAATAAATCATTGTTCTTTAATTGGTGGTATCATTATGTTATCCATCAACAGAGTGCACAGGCCACAAGTTATAACATTTGACACGAGTCCATTGTTTGTTGAGAAGAGATAGTCTTTAAACTAGTTTTCTTTTCTTTCCCACCCCAGATACATGAATTCGTCTCTTTTCGTTTCTTTTCTTAATCAAATCATGATTTTGTTTGTTTGCTTGTTTGTTAACACTTTGATTAGTTTATCATTATCTTATGTATCTTATGTAATTCAATGATTAATATAATGACTTCATGTTTGCTCATGTAATATATACAAGACATAATTTCCTATTTTTGTTCAACTTCAAATTTCTTTGATTTTATTCCAAATCTTATGATGATATAAACTATGAAATTCAACAAACTTGTGACAACATTCAAACGTAAGACACACTAAATGTGTTAACTACAGAGACAAACTTCAAGAGGTAATTCTTGAAATTCTAATGATGAATAGACATGAAAAATAGAAAGTTGACAAACATCCAATATGAGAGAATAGATCTATCGCCAATTCCAAAGGATGAACATTCCACATTGTGAATTCGTTGAACTGATCTAAACGTTCAACAATTGTTGTAGTACAAAACATACATTTAATTCCTGGTGGAGTTGTCTTTTTTCCATTAGGAGTAACAGGCGTAAGTAAGTAATTTGCTCACTTCTGAATAGTTACCTACTGCGATGAAACAACTGGATAGTACTTTTTCGTTTTTAACTTCTACCTAACTAACTAAGATTACTTCACGATTCCATTTTTTGAGCCTTTTCCAGTATCATTATCATTAATGCAGATATATTATTTGATGACTTTTTGTTTTGCATTCTTTTCTCTCTCTTATTTTCTAGCTTGTTTCTTCTCACATTATCTTGTATATAATACTACTTCATACAATCATTCTAATACTGATAGAAACAATCATAACTCTGAAATTTCTTATCAACCTAATTTAGTTCTAATCAGTTTAAATGGTCTAATCTGGTATCAAGGTAATATATTAGCTGGTACTAATGATCCAGATCCATTGGGTCAATTAAATTGGCTTCGACAAACATTTGAATGGGCAAGAAAACGAAAGGATAATGTAAGTTTCTAATTATTTTGAACAATACTTTGTTACATATTGGATATACATATATCAGAAGGGTTTTTGCGGAGGTTGTGGTTATATCATTAGTTGAGATCATGAGTCAATTGAAACTAGACCACCATGGAAAACCGGGAAGAACTGGAAGGCCGTTTCGTCCTATTGTAAGACTCCTCAGCGGTGCACGTCTATTATCCCGCTTTGCAAGATTTGAACCCAGGACCTATCAGTCTGGCGCACGAGCGCTTTACTCCTAGATCATTGAGCGGGCATCCAACAGTGTTAATATCTAACTTCAACCTATCCACGAAATTGAAATACACATCCACCATTGTCATCAGTGAGTTATATATATATATAATGATAGTGGAGCAACCCAAATACTTTTCAATCGAACTTGTATTATGTCTTTCGTACAACAACGTTTTTTCGAGCCTCCTGAAATGTTGTATCATATCTTATAATGTCATCAACTCTCTTTCAATATTTATATGATTTTTCAATCAATGAGATTCATTAATTAAGTTAATTATTATCGCAGAATATAATTTGACCTTTTTAAAAAAAATGTTTACGCCCGTTACTCCTCGAGGCCGAGGATAGGTCGCTCACCAGAATTCTCCATCCAACCCTGTCCTGGGAAATCCTTTCCAGCTCTTTCCACTTGTTATTCATTTTTTCATATCTGATTCTATTTCCCAATGTATTGTGTTCTTTGGCGTTCCTCTTTTCCGCTTCCCTTCAGGATTCCAATTTAGGGCTTGCCTCGTGATCCAGTTTAATGACTCGCGTAATGTATGTCTTATCCATATCCATCATCCTTTCTTAATTTCTTCTTCAGCTGGAATCTGATTTGTTCTCTCCCACAAAAGGCTGTTGCTGATGGTATTTGGCCAATAAATGTTGAGTATCTTGCGAAGACAGCTATTTATAATTACCTGTACCTTCTTGATGGTGGTTGATGTAGTTCTCCAAGTTTCAGCTCCGTACAGTAGAACTGTCTTGACGTTCGTATTGAAGATTGTGACTTTGATATTGGTTGACAGACAGTTGTTTGGAGTTCATTATGTTCTTCGATTGTAGGAATGTGGCCCTTTCTTTGCCAATTCTCGCTTTTACGTATGCATCTGAGCCTCCTTTTTCATCGATGATGCTTCCCAGATATGTGAAGGATTCTACATCTTGCAGAGTTTCGTCATCAAATGTGATTGGATTGGTGTTCTCCGTGTTGTATATGAGGACCTTGGTTTTCGCCTTGTGTATGTTGAGGCCTATTGATGCAGAGACTGCTACTACACTGGCTGTTTGTATGATTTGACCCAACACAAATGTATTGAATTTCATATTGTCATCTATCAATCATATAAGCAAATAGAAATACAGAATCAGTACAGCTTTACTATTATACTTGACTTTTTCTCCCATCATATTTATTACTCTGTAGCTCTTTTTTTCTCTTTGATTATTTATTTTTAAAGGTTTTACTTGTTAGTCACTTTCCTCCGGGTGCTTCAGAAAATGCTCCACAATGGTATCAATTTCTTCGTCCAGAAATTAATGATCAATTTGTGAATATATTAATTGATAATGCAGATTTATTAATGACTGGATTATTTGCCCATGAACATGTGGATAGTTTTCGATTATTAGTATCTAAGTCAAGTTAGTATTCATACAATTTAGTCATATAAACCATTGGTATCTTACTAGGTTGTTTAATCAATTATTTTTATGTTACTGTTAATGAGATAGTCAGTATTCATAGTTGTAATAATCTTAAGAGTATGATTATATATATTGGTTTTCTGCATATATATATTTATATAGTTGATTGGCAAAACCCCATATTAGTAAAGCATTACATTGGTAAAGAATCATTGCAGACATTATATATATAACAAATCATTCAGTTTATTCGCTGAGATCAATGAAGATAAATTAGTATTCATACAGACTCACTAAAGACGTTCACTGATTGTTTATATATGTGTGTGTGAGGATTGGGATACTGCCCAGGTGCTTAAACTGAAGCAAGTAGTTTAGAGGAAGTAGAAGAAGAAGATGCGATTCCACGGTAGTTGATGACCAACGATTAGTTCATACATCATTTATTCTTTCGGAATATTGAAACCCATGTGGACCATTGGTTTGAAATGAAGATTTTCCAACTTCCTTAGGTGGACTCTCTGTATCCGCTAATCTGGTTAAAGTACCGAACATTCGATTTTCATTTTGTGATTAAGATTTGGTAAACATTAGGAAGTGATTAAGATTTGTCATAATTTATCGAATCTATTGAATTCCTTCTCATAGAATCTTTTTATTTCTATTTTAATTGTTTTTAGATGTACCATTAGCATCTTTATTTCTTATGCCTTCCATTTCTCCATTAATGTTACATGGATTAGGTGATTTTAATCCACGTATTCGATTATATCGATTTAAACGTTCCACAATGACTCTATTAGGTTATTCACAATATTATTTTAATTTACAAAATCAATTATTCAATTCTGATCCATTGAATCATTGGCAATTAGAATATGATACAATGAATACGTATCATTTAATTGATTTATCTGCAAATTCATTAAATCTATTATGGTATAATTTTTCTAAAGAAGATAATCATTATTGGTCAAAATATTGGAATTATGAATTAGGCGGTCGATCACATGTATTCAAACCAAATTATCTTACAGAGAATGGTCTTTGTCCACGAGCCAAATCCCAATGTCGATGTGATCATTTATGTGCTATGCGATTTTTGATTAGATCCGATTTAACTAAATGTCTTCAATTATGTAAAGATATAAAATATATTCAAGATAATGAAGTAGTTGGCAATGATGATGATAATAGTCTTCAACATCCAATGTTTGCCGATTCTGCTGTTAATTATCGTAATAGAAATAGCACCTATTTAAATCATTCAATTAACAATCAAACAAGTATTACAAATTTTAATGAACGTAGTAGTCTACCATATATTATTGGTGTGATTGTTGCCTTTCTAGTGGTATTAGTCGGTATTGTCTTAATTGTTAATCGTGAAGTATGTAATCGACATAGAGTTTATCATCAGCGTACATCATTGCTGGCCAGTGTTATCGGTATCAATGGAACTAATTCTGGAGATGTCGGTGGAAATGGTCTATTTTTAAATACAATCAATGGTGCATTACCCAGCTCTTCATTTCTTCATGGATCACGTTCAGTTGCTAAAGGTAACGATCATTGTACCGGTGGTTCGTGTATTGAATTGCGTACAGCTTTTCATCCATCCTATGATGACTTCTATCCGGAATATCTTAATAAATCTGTCACATCTTTAAATGCAGTCACATTCTCCAACGGTACTACTACTTCTACTAATAATAATAATAATCATAAAGAATCAGATCGGATGATGAATCAATACAATGTAGAGAATTCCTTTACTGCGTTGGAACATAATGATACAATCCTGTCGCCATCTCATATGATTTCCTACTATGAAAATCCTAGTGATAATAGTAGTAGTAGTAGTAATAATAATAATAATAATAACCAAAGCATAAAACAAAAGTATATTAGTAAACGATATTCCCTACCGAATTATGCTTATTTTAAAAAATACCTATCTAGTCATATTAATCCAACTGGTCGAATGGTGTATGTAGTGAATCAACTGTTTGATCGTTGTGGGCACACTAGTAGTCGGGTAAGTCATATTCACAATAATGATACTGTTAATAATAATAGTAATAATATCAAAGCAAACACTACTAATACTTACATTAGTAATTGTAATGATACTGAACAATATGTGTTCAATAAAATCTCATCAACTGATGAGAAAAGTTATACAACATCTGAAAGATCATCCAATAGTCAACATACACAATCACAAAACATTTATCATCATCACCAATATCAAAAAGAGGATCTTCATTATCGTCAAAACAACAGTTGCCTTCCTGAAGATTATTATGCTGATGATGAAGCGTTCGGTGATGAAGACCATAGTGATCTTCATCATAAGAGTCATGTTTATTATCATTCACAGAAAGATCAGAACAACAAAGCAAATAATATCTGTACTGATACAGTTGCTGATAGGGATAATCATCAAGATCAAAGAGAATTATCAATATCATCACAAACTGGTTATCATCAATTAACTAATGATAAAAAGTTTAAATTAAATCAAATAAAAAAACAATTCAATTCTCATCAAAGTCACCGACATCATCATCATCATCATGATCATCATCCTCATGAACAACGTCAACATGATGATGATGATGTTCATTGTAAAAGTAGTACCAATGATGAAGATCATGATTCATTGAATGATCATCTTTTTCATTATGATCAAGAATCAAAACTTCTTAATAATAATGTTCATATTGGTAGAAGAAAATATTTCAAAGATCATAAATTCACATTTTGTCGTACAAAATCAACTAATCCAAATGATTCATTCAATAAACATCATGTTATAAATCATTCATCATTTTCATCATCCTATTCATCACCTTTAAAATCATCTAATCATATAGTACATAGTCAATCATTAGATCTAAATGAAATGAATCCTAATTCTACTAAAGACAATACTACTTTATGCAGTAGTAGTAGAAAACATAAATCTAAACATAATGTAAATAATCTATTAACATCTTCATTGACATGTTTACCAAATGAATTAGATATTCATTTAGAGAATAAAATGGAAATGATTCAACAACAAAATTTTGATCATTATCGTCATCCTAATCAGCATCTATATGAACAGTCACATTCAAGTTATACATCACCGTCTAAATATCGACCACAATTTTCATTATCACCATCTTCATTGATAACAGGATCATCAAAAACACCAAAACATAATCATGATCGTGATCGTGATCATCACTTGTATCCGGATCAACATATTCTTATCTCATTATCATTACCAAATCAAACGGATCAAAAATTATCATCGAATTTAGATCATTTAAATAGAAATAATGATGGATTACAACATGATGATATGAATGATAGAAATCATTTAAGTAATAATAATAATAATAGTAACATTATCTCTTTGAAGAATTTTCCTTCAACTACAAAACATGTATCCATTGTAAATATACCTAAATGTGATTATGTTCGAATGTCTAGTTAATGATTGTTTTTGGCCTATTGTATTTGTTTGTCTATGTAAATATGATTTCTCTTTTATTGTTTCTCACTCTTTTCTCCCTTTTGTTCTCGGTCTCGTTCTCCTTCTCTTTTCCTTTGAATTAATAGTGACGAGTCATTTGAACAACGCACAAATTTACACACGATAAATGATTTCATTTATGGATGGGGGTTTGTGTATGTGTGTATTATGTTGAATCTGAAATCCTTTGAAAGGTATTTACACCTTTTTATTTATCCATTTTTGTTTGTTTGGAATCTGTTTTGTTCAAATGTTAATCTTGTCATAAAAAAAAGAAAATACACAACTATTTAATATAAACTTTCTATGTTATATGGATGCGTATGCATAATGCTTATTCTCAATGAATTCCCCTCTCCTCCCCTTCTCCTCCCCCCTCCATCATGACAACTATACATTTATGTACTCATTTCTTTTTTTCTTTCAAGAGCATAACTACTCTTTAATTCTATTTGAAGAGAAGGAGAACGTATTCGCTCTATCTAGTCTGTTGATTAATATAAGAGAATGTATCTATGGTAATGATTATTATTCATTTATGAATATTATTGTATCCATGTGAATTAGTTAGGTGATTAAGGTAGTTTTTATTACAAATAATTTACACTTATTATCAATGATATTTTAATTTAATTTTGTTGATTATTAAAAACTGATTGCTCATTGTATAGATTTTTTGTCCTTCTTTCCTTCCTTCCTTCCTTCCTTCCTTCCTTCCTTCCTTCCTTCCTTCCTTCCTTCCTTCCTTCCTTTCTTTCTTTCTTTCTTTCTTTCTTTCTTTCTTTCTTTCTTTCTTCGCCTTCTTGTTTTATCCAGAATAAAATCCAATCAGTGTTATGTGTATATTGTAGGTGTACTTATAATGATTTCATTTTCATACTGATCCTCTTTATTGTATTCCCTTGTTGTTCTTGTTTTTGTTGGCCTGATTTTTCTCAACTTCCATACTATGTGTAATTTAATTAGGTGATTGGGGTTATGTTTAAGTCAACTTTCATTGATATAACATACAATAATAACAATGAACAAGTAGAATAAAACAATCTATTTGTACATATATCTATATATTTAGTGTTATTCTATGTTTTTGAAAGTGAAATGTATTGTTTTTAGATCAGGATCTCAGCACGGATACAGAAGGCTCGACTAGCTATTGCCAAATTGCGTCATTTATGGTGTAGGCGAGATATCCATCTACCAACCAAAAGACGGGTTTACTGCGCATCAGTTTGTTCCGTCCTACTTTATGGCACTGAAACATTACCAGTAAGAGTAGAGGATGTTCGTAGGTTACTAGTATTTGATCATAGGTGTCTTCGAAACATTGCTCGTATATCCTGGGACCATCGAGTAAGTAATGCAGGTGTTAGGAAACGGGTATTAGGTAAGGATTGCAAATCGATTGATAAAGTAGTGAAACTTCATCAGTTGGGATGACTGGGACACGTTATGTATGTCCAACCACCGACTGCCCCCAACGTGCGATGTTCAGTAGTATAGGAGTAGGTTGGAAGAAAGATAGAGGCAGCCAGACCAAAACATGGCACAAATTCATGAAGTCACTGACAAATAGACTGAGTCATGTTGGTAGGTGTAGATTACCTGGTTGGGGACCGTGATATGATAGCAACCGATGGTTAGAGACCCTGAATGACATGGCTGAAAATGGTTGCGATGGCGCAGGTACAGGTTCACTCTTTGTGTTCTCTCACATTCTAATCTTCTGAATTCTTCTTTTTTCTTTTTCCGAATTTATTTCCCCGTTTTATGCTCCTTGAATAACATGTTCAAACCTTAATGTTTCCGATTACTGTTTATACTTTTGCTACCTCTACCACTATGGAATTTGAGTGGACAACTGCATCTCTGTTCTAATGTGATATAGCAACTCGAACTGATGTACTTACGTACGTACGAAGTTCTACGTTGTTACTGACTGACTGACTACTTTAATTTTTCTAGTCTCCAACAAGTACAATGGAGACGCTAAAGATCAAGTCTACAATAGGCTGCAGTTAATCGGCGAGAAGTGCCAAACAGAGGACTTGACCATTCTGATGGGAGATTTAAATGCCAAGGTTGGAATAGACAACATCGGATATGAAGACATCATGGGACGACACGGACAGGGAAAAAGGAACGAAAATAGTGAGAGATTTGCAAACCTATGTGACTTCAATACACTGGTCATAGGCGGAACTATATTCCCACATAAGGGCATTCACAAAATCACATGGACTTCACCGGATCACACCACGCAAAACCAAATTGACCATATCCGCATCAACAAAACGTTCAGGAGGACGATTGAGGACGTGAGAACCAAGAGAGCTGATATAGCATCAGATCATCACTTGCTGGTCACCAAGATGAAATTGAAACTCAAGAAGTACTGGACAACGGGGCGGACAATATTACAATAGTTCAATACGGCCTTTCTTCAGAATACTAAAAAACTCAACAAATTCAAGATAGTCCTCAGCAACAAGTTCCAGGCTTTTCATGATCTACTCAATGGAGAAGGGACTAGTATGGAGAGCAACTGGAAGGGGATCAAGGAAGCAATCACTTCAACATACCATGAAGTTCTGGGCCAAAGGAAGCACCATCACAAGGAATGGATCGCTGTTGATACTCTGGATAAGATTCAAGAAATGAGGAACAAGAAGGCAGCAATCAATACCAGCCGAACAAGAGCAGAGAAAGCCAAGGCACAAGCTGAATACACAGAAGTAAACAAACATGTGAAGAGGAGTATCAGAACCGAAAAACTTAAATATGTGGAAGATCTAGCAATCATGGCGGAAAAGGCTGCAAGAGAAGGAAACATGAGACAACTGTATGACAAGACAAAGAAACTTTCTGGAAATCGCCGCAAACCAGAACGACCAGTGAAAAGCTAGGAATGCAAGGTAATCACCAACATTGAAGAGCGACAAAACAGGTGGGTAGAACACTTCAAAAAACTCTTGAATCGACCGGCCACATTGAATCCACCCAATATCGAGGCAGCACCCATGGACGTCCCAATCAATGTTGTTCCACCAACAATTGAAGAGATAAGTATGGCCATCAATCAAATCAAGAGTGGCAAAGCAGCAGGACCAGACAACATTCCAGCAGAGGCACTAAAAGCAGACGTAGCGGCAACTGCAAGGATACTCCTCATTCTCTTCAATAAGATTTGGGATGAGGAACGAGTACCAACAGACTGAAAAGAACTTCTGATCAAAATACCGAAGAAAGGCGATCTCAGCAACTGTTATAACTACAGGGGCATCAATCGTCTCTCAATACCGGGAAAAGTCTTCAACAGAGTATTGTTAAACAGGATGAAGGACTGCGTAGACGCCCAACTTCGTGGCCAACAGGCAGGATTCCGTAAGGATAAATCGTTGTTAGACCAAATCGCAACTCTACGGATCATTGTGGAACAATCAATTGAATGAAATTCATCACTCTACATCAACTTCATTGACTACGAAAAGGCATTTGATAGCGTGGACAGAACAACACTATGGAAACTTCTTCGACACTACGGCGTGCCTCAAAAGATAGTCAATATCATACAGAGTTCATATGATGGATTACACTGCAAAATCGTGCATGGAAGACAGTTGACAAAGTCGTTCGAAGTGAAGACCGGTGTTAGGCAAGGTTGCTTACTCTCACCCTTTCTCTTTCTCCTGGTGATCGACTGGATCATGAAGACGTCAACATCTGAAGGGAAGCACGGGATACAATGGACATCTAGGATGCAGTTGGACGGTCTGGACTTCGCAGATGATCTGCCCTTCTATCCCGAACGTAACAACGAATGCAGGAGAAGACGAACAGTGTAGCAGCAGCCTCAGCAGCAGTAGATCTCAATATACACAAAGGGAAGAGCAAGATTATCCGATACAACACAGCATGCACCAATATAGCCACAATTGACGGAGAAGATTTGGGAGATGTAAAAACATTTACATATTTGAGCAGCATCATTGATGAGCACGGTGGATCTGATGAAGATGTGAAGGTGTGAATCCGCAAAGCAAGAGCAGCATATTTACAACTGAGGAACATCTGGAACTCAAAGCAACTGTCAATCAACACCAAGGTCAGAATTTTCAATGCAAATGTCAAGACAGTTCTACTGTATGGGGCGGAAACCTGGAGAACTACGAAAGCCATCATCCAGAATATACAGGTGTTTATTAACAGTTATCTACGCAAAATACTTCAGATCCGTTGGCCGGACACTATTAGCAACAACATACTGTGGGAGAGAACAAACCAGATAAGAGAGGGGGAGGAAGAAATCAGGAAGAAGCGCTGGAAGTGGATAGGACATACATTGAGGAAAGCACCCAACTGCGTCACAAGACAAGCCCTCACATAGAATTCTCAAGGCCAAAGGAGGAGAGGAAGACCAAAGAACACATTACGCCGGAAAATGGAGATAAACATAAGTAAAATGAACAAGAATTTGATGGAATTAGAAAGGAAGGCCCAGGACAGAGTGGGTTGGAGAATGCTGGTTGGCGGCCCATGCTCCATGGCGTAGGTCAATGAGTATTCTATTTCAAATCATAAACAAAATTCACTTTTACATACTAGAAATGGCTTCTATATAATACTTAAATTCATATTTCGCTTTTTTTCATCCTATCAACTAATTCATATATAGGTATAATGACAAAACCATTTCGTATTTTGGTAATACCTACAATGTAGTATCTTAAAAATATAAATCATAACGAAATTAATGTGATGCCAATCATAAAATGACAGCAGCTGACAAATTCAAAACTAAATAATGATAGTCTCTTTTCAATGGCGTAGAATCATTCAAACATGATGGTCATGTGTTTATATCACATTTTACATTTATAACAGATGATATGATTATATAGTTACATAAATATTGCTATTGAAATTATGAACTGGTCAATGTTATAGCATTATTAGAAATCTGGAAGTACTAGACAGTCTTTTCGTCTAATTGTGAGACTCTTCATCAGTGAGTATCCATGACCCTTCCTCACGAGATTCAAACCCGATACCTATCAGTTTCGCGTGCGAGCGCTTAACCTCTAGACTACTGAGCCAGTTGGCATTCAACAGTGTTAATGTCTAACTTTAACCAATCCACATAATTACATCACTGTCCACTATTGTCTTCAATGAGTGATTATCTCACAAAGGACTCGGTTGAACTCCGCTGGTCACTGCTTCTCATTAGAACTCCAGGAAATACCTCTTAAAGCCCATCATTAGTGAGCACGAATTAATAAAAAGAAACATTAACAACAGTCTGAAGTTAATGTAAAGAGAACAAATCACAATGAGGATATCGTTCAGTGAAAAAATACATAATCCATTAGGATCTATCATTCTATTTAATTGTCCATATATTTATCTATTTATATACCCCTATTTATGTGTAAACATTTAACTAATTATGATAGTTGGGAGTAATCAGCACATTTATTGATTCAATCTTTGCACATAATACATTTCTACTGATTCTACATCATTCTAACATCTTTATTATGATAAGTAGTTACTTGTCTTGAATGTAAAGATAACCTTTTGTCTGGTTTATTCAATACTTGTTTTGTATATTGTCTGAATTTATTGTTAAAGTATTTCTAAATTAAGATTGTGTTTATTCTGAACTGAGATTATGTTTTAGTGAATAAGTTTACATAAATGGAGACAACCTTTGGTATTTGAATATAAGCTTACAGTATCAGTTGTGAAATAGTGACAATGGTGGATATGTCACTCAATTTCGTGGATTAGTTGAAGTTAGACATTAACAGCGTTGAATGCTGGCTGGCCAAGTGGTCCAGTGGTAAAGCGCTCGCGCTCGAGACTGATAGTTCCTGGGTTCGTATTCCGCGAAGTGGGGTCGTGTATGAGCACTTCTGGAAAGTCCTACAATAGAACGAAACGGCCGTCCAGTGTTTCCAGGTTTCCTATGGTGGTTTAGCTTCAATTGACTCATGATTTCAACTAATGAAATTACTGCAATCTCCACAAAACTCCTTCTTTTACAGTATCACTTGATAAAATCT